GCCAGCCCTGCGGGAGGTGAGCTCTGCACGTCCCGGGGAGATCTGTCATGCCTTGGGCAGGTGAGTCTCCTTGCCCAGGAGAGGACCTGCATAATACACCTACTTTCCCCCAGGTCCACCACCCCAGAGGCTGGATAGAGTGATCCCCCCCACTTGTGTGCGGTGTCGCGGCAGCAGGCAGACACGAGGCAGAACTCTGGCTCCAGGTTTTATTGCAGCTGATTTCTCCCACCATGGGTAGCAGAGCTGTGGGGCGTGCGGGGCCCAGGGAGGGAGCGGGGCCTGAGAAAAGCAGGGGTACACCGGCTGCGCAGGGGAGGGGCCTTGCACTGTGTCACCCTCCCCAGGACAGGGGTGGGCACACCTGCCCCAAACCAGTGCCTGCGTCCCAGTGCCGGCCAGCACCGCGGCACCGGTCAAAGCTGCCCACCTGCCCGGGGCTCCAGGCCATTGCTCCTGAGCCCAGAGCCGCTGTGCTTCGGCTGGTGACAGCGTGGGAGCTGCGGGCAGCGCAGGACGTGCACCGGGACTGGCACGGGGCTGTTGGCAGGCACGGGAACGGGGCACTGAGCTGGGGACGGTGGCAATGCCCCAAGCTCCCGGGAGGCTGGGCGCTGCGGCATGGTCAGCACACGTCTGTGGGTTTGACCAGGATGAGGGACGATGCGCAGTCGCCACTTGAGCAGAATCCTGGCCACAGGATGTGTTTCTTGGCATTGAGCAGGATGTTCTGGCACCTGTCGTACCACCAGCCCCCGTAGCTTTTGGCGCAGTTCCCACTGGACAGGTCCTGGTCCTTGTCGGTAGTGCTGAACTTCATGTTGTCATGGATGCCCCCGTACCTGGAGTGGTAGCTGGTCAGGTAGTCATCCCCATCACCGGAAAACCGGCCCAGCCTCAGTGGGTACCCGCTGGCCTCGCTCTCCACGCCGAAGATGTCGTACGGGCGACGTTGGCTTTATTCCGCACGACGAAGCGGACCTTGTAGGTGCCCTGCTGCGTCAGCAGGTGCAGGTACTCGGTGCCCAGCCAGTGATCACCCTGCACGTTCCCGAAGCCGTACTTGTAGGTGGTCCAGGACTCGTTCCACGTGGTTTCCGTGTTGTAAGTGTTTCTCTGGACGACGGTCCAGCCCTTGCCCTGGGTGTCCATGTCACACCACACCACGCGCGGGGGGGACCGCGCCGGCTGGATGACGTACACCCCGCTGGGGCTGCTGCTGGCGAGGCGGCTGCAGTCGGCGGGGAACCCTGCGGCGGCAGAGCAAGCGAGACGTGAGGGACCTGTGCTGGAGGACGGGCTGGCAGGGCCGCCTCTGATCTGCCCGTGATGAGAGGCAAGAACTGCCCTGCTTTGCAGCTTGGGTTTGAATGCAGAGACCTGCTGTCTCCCCGTGGCTACAGGCACAGGACCCCTGGCACCCCGCTCCCCAGAGCCCGGCCGTG